TAAAACCTTGTCAAAAAAATTTAATAATAATCTATCTGGTCTTTTGCTTTTTTTCACTGTATATCATCCTTTGTCCTTTTTCTAGACATGCATTACAAATGAGGCCATTAAAACCCCCCTGCAACATGTGAAATAGGTCAGATGCTTGCAAACTCAGTTAACATAGGGTAAATCAGTCACCGTTCACCATCTGCATGCATAAAATAAAACTTTGATTCAACAGAAACAATGTGCTCGAGTAGCTCCGAGGCCGGGAACTTGAGTAAGCTGATTAAGCATTCCAGAGAGAGGGAATTTTGCCCGTTGCGCTAAATCCACTGGCCCTATTCAATACTCCCTAGTAAGAAAAGTCCATAGGAAGGAAATCCAGCTGATTGGCCCGGTGAAGACCAGCTCATCGACTCAGCAGAAAGAGCTGATGTTTTCCTTTTCAATTCTGCTGAATTCAAGTCATGCTCTCCTTGTTAGACTGACTGCAAAACACACTTCTGTGTATAGGAAACCACTACACAAAGAACTATGTAAAGACCCTCTGTATACACTGGACATTGTAATGCTTTCTAGTAAACAGAGAAGGGCTGCACGATATTAGAAAATAATATATATAATATGTATGCCATTTATATTACTATTTCACCAAATAACTTGAACAGCTCTATTTGAAGTAATTCATGCTTTTATATTGATTGGGATGATTTTGCAGAGGAGTGCCTTTGCAGAAAATATAATACATTAATTACCTATAATACAGATAAATGAAGTGGGGCAACAATATAAATAAAGAAATCTAACAGTTTTCAGGTACAGAAAAATAACAATCAAATGTATAATAAAGTTGTATAGTCTTCGTTTTATAAATAATTAAATAAATGTAATAATTTATGATTAATCTAATAATTCCTTGTGATTGCATTTTAAGCTAGTTTTAAGCATTTGGGCAAAAACCTTAAAAATACATGCAACTGACAAACGTGGAATTTCTTACGGATTAACTGAAATGACTACACAATTTCCATGTGTTCTAAACCATTTTACCAGGTCAACTATAATACTGACTTCACATTGTAGACCCTGCGATGTGACTATTGTGGATTTACGCATTGCTATGCTGATGCTAAAATGATATTGTACAGCCCTAAAACTGAGTAACTAAAAAAGTAAATATTTTATTGGTACATAGTTAAAATTATAGCAACAATAACAAATCAGGTTCAGAAAAGTTCCAGAAGTTGGTTTAATTAAATTTTTGTCTTATACTGTAACATGTCGCAATCTTTTTCACATAAAGAAATGCGTGTTCAAATATGACAAGAGCAACAAACTTTGACCAAGAATGAGTCAGGTTTAGAAAAGTTCCAGAAGTTAACACTGCATAATAATGTCTTATGCAAGCATGCAGATCTGAAATTCTAAATTAAAGGAATGATTCACTCAAAAATTACAATTTGACCATCCGAGATGTGGGTGACCTAGATGATGATCCACTTTCTTCAGTAGAACATTAAAGAGGATATTTAGTTGAAGCAATCAATAAACTGCAGTCAACAAACAGATCCAGAGCCCAATAATATAAATAATAATACATTGAGATTAGGGCTGCACAACATTTGTGGCGGTGGGGTCAATATTCTATTTTTCGATAATCGTTATTGCAATATTGAGTTTAATTTCACCAGATGAAATGAATAGCTCTGTTTGGAAAGAATTGATGAGTTTAGATTAATTTGGTTTGATTTTGTAGGGCAGGGCATAAAAGATAATAAATTAATCACAGGCATTAAAAATACAATAGAACAAAAAAAACAAATGTAATAAACAGTGTTCTCTGGGAGTCTAGCAGTGTTCACACACTATTAAAGGTAAAAAAACAAAACAATAACACTGTCATAGTAGTCGTCATTGTATATACATAAACACAATTCTTATTTCTTAAAGTTACAAACTGTATAGTTTCCTATGCCTGAATGCAGAAAAGTAACAGGAAATGCTCACATGGTCACAGGTCTTAAAAACACATACAAATAATAAACTTTTGTTAACTTTACGGTTAAACTTTGCAATTTCCTCTAGTCCAGAAAACAGTTGTTTTCATCTGTGGCTCCTGGTCAAATATAAGACTTGATGTTGCCCATCCTGTGATGTGACTATATTGTGGTTCTGCACATAACAATATCGATACTGAAATGATACATTATGCAGCCCTAACTGAGATCTTATGAAGTAGTGCTGCACAATATTGGAAAATATTTTTTTTTTTTCTGTGACATATTGAGAAATTAATACAATTTCACTAGATGAGTTGAAGAACTATTTGAAAATCATTTATAATTTTACACTGACTATGATGATTCAGAAAAGGAGTGCATAAAATATAATATACAATCTACAGTACAAGCATAGATATATTCAATAAAGAAAAAGATAAACAGAATTTGATTGTTTTCCCCGAGTCGTCGAACTGTATTCAAGTATACAGTAATTGAAATGTAAAAAATTAATGCATGGTCTTCGTTTTATAAACAGTTCAATCAAATTTTTGATGTGAAATTAAAAACCCTCACATAGTCACAGGCCTCATAAAACACTTGCAAAATGATAAATTATAATCCAGACTCAACATTGTGTATCCTTGCCATGTGACTATTGCGATCAATCACATTGCGATATTGATGCTGAAACACTATATTATGCACTGCAGCTTTATTATGAAGCAAATAATGCTTCTGGTTAAAGAACATAAGTTGTGTTATTATCTTTAATCCTAAATCTTGGTAATTGGTCCAGAGTGTTCATAGCAGTCTGGAAGAGATTGATCATTTTACTTCATAAGGCCAATGTAACATTCAATATAACAGAATATATATATATATATATATATATATATATATATATATATATATATATATATATATATATATATATATATATAATGGTGCCAGTAGTCATTTACTATAATAATGTAATATGTAAACAGCCAAGTACCACAGTTTTAGTAAGAAATCTTTAAAACACCACAAGTCAGCAACATCTTGGATAGTCTGAAGGAAAGCGAATTAACAGTAAATTCTACATTTCTAGATAAACCATGCTTTTAAATCCTACAATAACATGTTTGACATTAAAGTGGTATATGAAAAGCATCATCATGAACTTGTCTTGCTATTTATAGTAATTTACAAAATTATCTAAATCCTTATATAGACAGAATCTTTGATATGAGTGTGAAGAACCGAAAGAGAAACTACAAATGTTAACCACTAAACAAGCACAAACCAAAGTAAGAGCTACTATGTCTGACTATACAACCCATATAAAATAGATGTCACAGTTGATAAAGAGTCTTAAGTAACAGAGTTTCCTAACACTCAGACTAGTGATAGTTGTAATAGAGCGTGCAGCTTGTCGTTTGGCATGTGACCTACACATGACTAGCACACAATAGAGGAAGGGATGGGCACTTCAGTTCCTTCAGATATACTTGACATCTGCACATTCAGACATTTACACAGAAGTGTAGGTGTAGAAAGCTCACAATTTCACTCAACACAGTAGACTTGGCATCAGTGACTAAATACATTTTAAGATTGTGCAAACTAGTGCTGATAAGAAACTAAAAACAGCACAATTGAGACTAGTGTTGTGGACGTAGTTGTTATGAATAATTCTGCACAACATTTATTAAAAGAGGCAGATGTAAAAACTTCATATTGATTAATTAATTTTATTGTTATTATATAGACGTGGTTAAAAATCAAGGAGTTAAAACAATAAGGCACGTGACTATATTTATGTGCAGCAACTCCAGATTAAAATAGCATTCGTGAAATACACCTTTAAAGGTTATTTTAACAAACAAACAAACGAACGTGTCTGACTACTCATTTTTAATGTATAATGGTTAGGTCCAGCGTACTGTCATCCTATATTAAATTTATAATCAGCAACCTTGATTCTGACCACACTAAAGACACGCAACAGGTTACAAGACATGTTGACACTACTTAATCAGCTACTATTTGACTACTTCACCGGCTTGTCAAGCTGTTAAAAAAGTAAGCGTAAAGCTACCAGGAGATGTTAGCTTACATGAACTAGCCTTCGTACTCATTTCTGCTTAAGTAAGTCAGATTTCATGCAATGAAAAGTGAAAATGAAAATAATATGATTATAAGAAATGAACCAGGTGTATGACTAAATAACGAGCTCTAAGTTACTTGTCATAAATGTAACGCGGATGGATATTCAACCCGGCTGTGCTCCGCTATTACAACAACAGCCGTTTAATTACAAAAGTTTGACTTCTTTGGAGAAGACTTTGAGTTAGAATTTTGCTCCTAAATATTGCGCATCTTTCCGGTTAAAGTAATATTCATGAAATAACGCGACACTAGTTGTTAATAAGACCCAATGTACAGCTAGTCATGATTGCTGCTGCCTGTCAAAAGTAGCTACAGGTAAATTATGAGCTCCGTAACGACAAACAAGCCGTGTAGTAACTCATTCACTTACTATTCGGGATTCATCGTGGACTGGACACTGTAAAAAGCGCTTGTCTTTCAACAAAACAACTCCGCGGCGTGAAGACAGACTAGAAGCGATAACCTTTCTCCCGATTAAAAAGTAACTAGCTGGCTAGCTACTGCCGCAAAGGCTAGTCGGTTGAAACCCAAAATGGCTGACTCTTCAACCAGGAAATAGGAACTCCTTAAACAGATTGCGTATGCAATGTCGTGATCGTGACGTGTACGGAATTTGTAGTTCAATTCAGATGTCATGTCGTCAACATGAATGAGGGAGAGATGTTGAAAAAACTACAATACCCACTTTTAAATTTTAAAACGTTCACGATGAGTTCATAGTAGCTTGAATCGTTCACGCTGAGGACTGCAGCAATTCTGCCCCCTATCATAGGGGTAAAAAATTACGTCATTTGTGAAACGTGGCATTGGCTAATGTGAATGTGAGTCACTGATCAATACGTGTCAAAAATAAGACTGAACTAATCAAAAATCACTTTATTGATTATTAAAAATTATTTTACAGAGCATTGAATGTTAAACATAAATGTTAAAGTCCACATGAAATCAAAATTAACCATATTGATTTTGTTAGCTCACATTGCTCGTTTTGTGATGAACAATTCATTTGTGCATGTCACTAAGAAAAAAAAGCCTTTTTAATCTTTAATTGAAATCTGAAAATGCACTTCCTGTTTGTTTTCAGGTAAATTGTCAGAGTATTTATATTTTGGGAATTAGGTGTGGCTAACATGTTTAACATGCCACTCCAACTGTCAGTTTTGACAACAAACAGAAATGGCAAGGAAGGGGTGTCTGTTAGGTTGTAGTAGCTTTCTCTAATCCTTTTTCCTAATCTTTCTAAATGCCCACTTTACTGCATCCAATCAGCTCAAAGTACAAAAACAAGCCACGCCCACGGTTATCTCATTTAATATTCTATCCCTCTAGGAACTGCGTCACAATATGAAAAAATAAAGGTCACAGCTTCCAGTTCATAGGGACTTTAAAAGACGTTTCATAACCACCTAATTAATGAGTAGAAATGAAACCATTAAGGGTTTGTTTGTTTGTTTGTGAAGAATAAATGAACAACGTGCCAAAAAATTTTAAAATTAAAACATTACAAGAAGCAATGTTACATGGCCACTCAATCAATGAGTGCAATTAAACTTTTCAGAACTTTTGATTGATAATCAGCTCTTTCACTGAATCCAATTGTTGGTTCCAGAAGGTGTATGGAAACTCAACCGAAGACGCAGCTCCGACTTCTCCCTGAGAAAGAATACCATATTACAATTAGGAAGATAAAAGCTGAGTTTAATGGTGCGCACTGTCTATGGGCATAACAAAATTGCTATGTACATCCCAACAAGATTCACATTTTCTGCTTATAAGAAAAGGAAACACGTAAAAAAATGATTTACCTTCAAATTTAAAGAAATAAGACCGATTTCAAAGCACTGATTGCCTCCCATTCTCCTCTGTATGTCGGCGAGCACAGCACTACAGGCTTCATTAGGAGATGAGCCCTTGGTAGCAGACAACAAAAGATGAAAGAAATGTGAGCCAGATCTAATTTAGCAAAGCTCAAGCAAGTCTCTATGGTTTAATGAGATTTTCATTGATCGTCCTCTCTTTACACCACCTCTGCTGTCAAAGTACTCTCCTAGTATTTGACATGAAACAAATTATACTTTTGGATACATTTGGACAAAATTCTATGGATTACAGCTAAACTAATTAATACATACACATAACACATGCATTATACAATAACACATTTGTCCAAAGTGATCATTTAATTTATAACAAGACAAAACTGTGTAATACTTGTTTCATCAGCTGCACGACATGAAAGCTTGGACAGTAGCACATAATTTTGTCTCCATCACCTGTAGCTGTAGACAAAAAAAATACATTTTTAAGTGTAAAATTATAAATAATCACATAAAATGAATACTAACTAATTAGAAATTAACTAATATAAAACATAAAAAATATATGGAACATACCTGCTGCAGCACCCACCTAAAAAACAGAGATTAAGAATCAGAATCAGAAAGAGCTTTATTGCCAGGTATGTTTACTCATACAAGGAATTTGTTTTCATGACAGAGCTTCTACAGTGCAACAGAATTACAGAAACAGAACAAAAAACTTAATTAAAAAATAGAAGTAAGTAGTGAATGCACATATACAAATTGACTAGTGTATGTACAGGTATATTACTATTTACAACATTATATTTGCAGCTCATATGTGCAAATTGGCATGTAAAGTATGTCGTTAAATAGGCAAGGCAAGGCAAGGCAAGTTTATTTATATAGCACATTTCATACACAGTGGCAATTCAAAGTTCTTTACATAAACAAGAATAAAAGAAACAAGTAAAATAAAAATAAAAACAAATAATAAAAATGCGTAAAAACAAAACAAAAACAGGTCAAATGTGGTATAAAAGAATGAAGAAGAAGAGAAAAACATGATAGTGCAATCTGTCGGACGCAGCACAGTGCTCATTTAGTAAAGGCACAGCTAAACATGTGTTTTCAGTCTTGATTTGAATGTGCCTAATGTTGGAGCACATCTGATCATTTCTGGAAGCTGATTCCAGCAGCGAGGGGCATAGTGGCTAAAAGCCGATTCACCCTGCTTTGACTGAGCTCTTGGAGCTTCTAGTTTATATGATCCTAAAGATCATAAATAAGTGTATACGTGTATGAAAGTGTATAGCAAGTAGTGATGTTTGATTCACAATTACTATCATTACAATTACTATCATATTCTAAACTACCATGCACTAAAATATTCTGATATTGCATTAAATAATCTATTTGTTGAATGACTAAAAGTTAATTAATAAAATTGTACAACATACTGTGTGATCAGCATACAGACCACAGCCTGGAAGTGGAGAGTCTCCCACCCGTCCTGGTAATTTGAATGGAGCTCCTGATGTGGAAACTCCTGCATAATATTTATAATTTCAGGCACATTCAAATGTTGTTAAAAACATATCAAAACTGTTTTATCCTCACATTGGTACACTATTAGGGTAGAATAATTCAACATGAGCACAGATGTACAGCATTAGAATAATGATTGAAACAATGAGAAATGTAAATTCAACCTTACCTACTGTTATGTTACCACTTAAATCAAGAGCTATAAGGCCTATGAGAAAGACAAAAAATATGTAAGTTTGTTTCTGCACAATTTAAATTCAAATACTGCTATTAGTCAGTGCACTAATGATTTTTTCAAGCATCAAAAATAAATAAATAAATGTGTAACACAACATTTTACTTGTATATTGGGATTTATTTCTGAGCAAAAACATATGACTATCTTTCACAATTTTTTATCATGATCTATAGAACACACTTAATATGTCACAGTTTTTATTACAAAAATATTTTCAGGCATATTTAGAAGAAGAATTTCATGACACGTTACACAGTCCAGATCACAGTGCAGCCCCAAAACACTAATTAATAGTCATTTTAAATCTTTCAATTTTGGCACTTTCCTTCAAACCTCTATGCTTTTTCCATTAGTCAGCAAGATGTTTTTAATTATTTAAAACATAATAACATTTAAAATAATCAATTGCATATATTGTAATAATTTTAGGTCACAGTTTGTGTTTAATTTTCAGATAATTGTTGTTATGCTAAAATGAAATATATATATATATTTTTTTTACATTTTATTATCATAAACGTATTGGAAATATTAAAAATAGATACATTACCTTCATGTAATTTGCTTTCTTTGATATAAAACCACTCAAATTTTTAATTTAATCTAATGTGTGGACACCACATCCTATTACTCAGTCCATAAGTACTTGGGCATTTACTTTGACAGCTCTTTTACATGGAAAACACACATTTGTTTGTTCTCGTTTGCACTAGAGATTGTATTTTTTTTTTACAGAGGTTACGTCTTTTTGGAGTTAACAAGAAGCTTATGATGTTGTTATATAAAGCTGTTCTTGAAATCATTGTCAGGTATGGTTCACAGTGTGGTTTGGCAAACGATCTGTACTGTACTGTGTAGATCGAACTTAATGCATCTCTTAAAGACAGTTTGGAAAATTGTTGGGCATGATGAATATTTAAATCCTCAAGCTTTATATGAGACTTGTGTCCTTAATCAGGTGGAAAGGATTCTGAATGATCCAACTCATTTTTTGTTTGCACATTATGAACTGCTTCCCCCTGGTAGGAGATATAGAGTCCCTAAGTGTAGGTTGAACCGATATAAGAAATCCTTTGTACCTGTTTTAGTGGGTTTATTTAACAAGAGTTTATCTTAATTAGCATTATAATTATTGTAACTATTGTACTTTGTATTGTTTTCATTGTTTGTTTTTATGGAATGTCTGCAGCAAGATCTTGATGATCATAAAAAGTTTACTACTACTACTACCACCACCATCTTTGACCAATAATTAATAAAAAACAAATATATATATATATATATATATATATATATATATATATATATATATATATATATATATATATATATATATATATATATATTTATTTATTTTTTTTTTTCTTCTTTTTTTTTTCTTTTTTTTTTTTCAGAAAACTAAAATAAATCTGTTAATATGCCAACTGTCAGTTATGTACCATGAGATTAGGCTATATAGCTAAAACACAATGCTAGATATTTTTCAAGCTGAATACTTTTCACAGTAACAGCAATCTGGTCAACTGACTTTCAATAGGTTTGCTCATATATTAATCACTCATCAAAAAAAGTTTGACAAATATTATTCTCTTACCTATTGTATCATGCCCACCCTTAACTGGTTCCTTTTTTTCAAGAAATTCCTTTTGAACAAAAATTATAAAATAAAAAAGTCATTAAAAAAACATTTAGCATCTGCTTTCTTTAAAGCTTGCATTTATGGTGGAGAAACAATAATTCTTTAAGAGTTTGAATACCTGGTAAGCAGAAGCAGTGTGGTCAGACAGCATTTTCTCATTGGGCTCTGATGTAAAACCCAGATCCTGAGCAAATGCTTCTGCTCCTTCTCCAACAAGCAAGCTGTGAGGACTCTCCTCCATTACTTTGCGAGCTACACGACATGGTTGGGGGATACTAGTAATGTAAAAAATGGATGTATTAAAGATGGTTGTGGGCCAAGCTTTACTAAAAACAAATAAGAATGCTTTCAGAATTAAAGTATTTTATTTTATCCATATGATTCATTTATTTACATATCATAAAAAATACAAATATATCTACCCTCGAAGTGCTGCCACTGCCCCAAATCTCCTTGGCAAACCTTCCATAATAGCAGCATCACATTCAACTACTCCTGTGGCATTTGGAAATCCCCCTCTGCCAACAATATGTCGTCCAGTGTCTAAGTCATCTTCAACTTCTAAAAGCAAACAAGCAAACAAAACACTTATGCGTTTATACCACTAATACTCGTTGTTGTTGTTGTTAAAAACTAAGTTGCCTATTACTTATACATGGCATCATGAAAATACATAGTATATAAAGTCTGCTAAATTTTTAATAACGTTATGCAAATAAGATAGATAAGGAGAAAGATTTATCTAACAACTGAATCAGTAATAAGAATAGTATTTTAATCCATCGTTCACAAGAGGTTCCAGCCGACTTTAAATAATAAAAGTCCATGCAGTTGGCTGATGATAGCGCAAACAGGTGTCAGATTTACCTGCCATTGCAGTTTCTACAACATCTGTAGCGTTTTGTCCAGCTAGCAGCAAACTTCTCATTCTGTCCACTGCAGGGCGAGAGAAAGACCATGTTCCCACAGCTGCCATTTGACACAAATGTATTGAAATACATCTATTTATGTACAGGAAAAGTTCGTTTCCATCGTTTGTAAGACTTTAAAACACAGTTCTACGTCCGGGGGTTATTAAAGCACAATTTCAAAATAAAAGTCTACGCGTTACAAAGACAGTTTAAAGGGCCATACTATGCATAATGTACACAATCTGTCATTTTTAAAGTGACTTAAACTGACTTTTTGACATGGCCTGACTTTCAATAAAATTTGTATTTTGATTCAATTTCATACATAATTAAGCAATAGTGCAGTGATTTGAATTAATGCACAATAATGTATATTGCAATATTACGTTAAAGATTTTAGATTTATTTATTGTAAAAATATAGATAAAGAAAACAATAGGTACATTTTTTAACGTTTACCCTTTTTGCACAATAAAACGACTATTTCAATGTGGTCATGTCATTGGCCCAAGCATGAACATTTTCCTGCTTGTTATCATACTATTTCATAACTGTAATGTTAGGCAATTCAATCATAAATTAACATTAAAACAGCTGTCATAACCTTATTTAGCAATATGTATTCATCAGTTTTGCATTCTCTGAAGCTATAGAAATTAAAAATGTAAAACAGGAAATACATCGGGATCATTGTTCTTGTTTACATCCATCAAAATGGTATATAAAATATAAATTTTTTTGTATTGAAGCATATAACTGACAAGCATACAGGATTATATGTAAAATATCACAAATTTGATTTGAGTATGCGAGCCAATAGTGCACCGGAAGCGCATATTAAAGACGGCGGAAGTTGTTGTGAAGTCTCATGTTTTGCGCGCTCCCTGCGCTTCTGGAACTATTCAGCTCGTAGCCAACCGGTGGATCCTGCGAATTATCGGTTTGTTTGGCTGTCCTTTGATCTAACACTGTTTCTAGACGGAGAACTGTATTACAAGTGTTAACTGCTTGGGTTTTTAACGAACATATTAAAGTTAGCTCCAAAATTAGCCTCGCTAAACACGCTGTGCTGCATTCCTGTTCTGCTCACTATCACCTCTTTAACATTGTCAACTCTGTTCTCTTGAATGTGAATTCTATTATTTAGTGTTTCTGTAGGTCCTCGTACTGTTGGTCAATTTACGTATTATACTTTCTTTATAAATCCAGAATAACGTTACTGTGTCCTTTTAATTTAACGTTCAGATATTGCATTCAATTTTCTCTTGTGCATGTCTGTTTATTTAGGTGCACTTGGGATTTTTATAATCGTGTCTGCACTGTTGTGTGTAATCGGTTTTTTAAGATTTGTTCATTTGTATCTTTTTTTCGTTCATTTTAGTTTACGTCTTTTGGAGCCACTGAAGTTTTATAGGGAAGCCCTGAACCACTGCTCTGTTGTTTTGCTTCATAACCTGTCAGCATGGAGCAGAACAACAGCCTACCTCCTTTCGCTCAAGGTCTGGCATCTCCACAGGTGAGGAATGGATTGTTTAGTTAACGGGATTTTCCCAAAAATGACATTTCTTCATTTACCTATACTCAAGTGCTTATAAACATTTATAAACGTCTTGCTCTGGGTAAACAGAAAACAAGATGTTCCGAAGAATTCTGTGGAAACATAAAAAGATACAGGAACAAACTCCAGTAGCCATTTTTTTACATTTCAGTAGAGATTTGTAAAAGTTGGTTGGGCTGCACTATAATGGAAAAGTCTGATATTGCGATACTTTGTTTTTCTATGCTAAATAAAGCAATACGAATACCATTTCACAAGATGAATGAGCCTATCAGTATTCAGGTGCAGAAACTGAATAACCACAGTAGAAAAAAATGCTTTTCTTACACTGTCTTGTTTCCAGTCCAAATATTAAAAAAAATTAGTAAAGTAAAAAATTGTTTTGTTTTCACTGTCAGTAGAAATATTAAGTGATTTTCCCTAAAACAAGCTAAATAATCTGCCAGTGAGGTGTTTTTTTCCATAAATTATAAATTTCGTATAAAGACTCGGTCAGTGAGGCTAAATCTAAATATTTATCAAATTTGATTGCTAAAAGTGCAAGTAAGCCAAAAGTCCTTAAAACTATTAAAAAATAGTCCTTAAAACTATTAATTCAGTTCTTAATCCAACTATGTGCTCTGTTCCTGTTGTCAATCTGGAGACGTGCATAAAGTTCTCTGACTTTTTTACAAGATATTAAATCACACCTCTTTCCCACCGACATAGATCATTCTGATTCGGTCCCTCCATCCAACAGTTTCACAAATTTTCAGCCTGTATCTTCTTCTCAGCTACTTAATAAAATTTTTCAGATGAAACTCACCTTTTGTCCTTCAGATGTACTGCCTTGCCGTCTTTTTAAAGAGGTTTTAGATACAATCTGCCCCTCACTCTTAGCTTTAATAAACAGCTCCTTAATAAACAGGGTTTTTCCAGATGTCTTTAAACATGCTGTTGTAAAGCCTGTATTAAAGAGGCCTAATCTTGATCCCGCTGTGCCTGACCACTACAGGCCCATATCTAAGCTCTCATTTTTCTCAAAGGTTTTAGAGAAAATTGTAGTTTCACAATTGACCTGGACATTTTTAAAATTCTAGACCCCTTACAATCTGGTTTTAGAGCAAAACACAGCACTGAGTCTGCACTACTAAAAGTCACAAATGACATTTTACTCTTCATGGATTCTGGATCATCTGCGATTTTAATACTTTTAGACCTAAGCGCTGCTTTTTATACCGTAGATCACAACATATTATTTAAACGACTTGAGTGTGTTGTTGGGGTTCAGGGCCTTGCCTTGCAGTGGTTCTCCCATATCTAAAGGGGAGATCTTTTTCTGTAAATATTGGATCCTTTACTTCACCACCTAAACCTATTCATTGTGGTGTTCCACAAGGATCTATTCTTGGCCCTCTTTTATTTTCTCTTTATATGCTTCCTTTAAGCTCAATACTCCTCAAACATAACATAAGCTATCACTGCTATGCTGATGATCTCCAACTATACTTTCCAATCAAACTAGGAAAAGATTTATCATTAGAAAATATTTTCCTATGCCTTACCGACATTAAGACCTGGATGACAAATAACTCTCTGCAACTAAACAAGAATAAAACAGAAGTGTTAATTTTAGGTCCTGCTGCTACCAACAATTCAATTAAAACTTAGCTAGGAGCCCTAAACGACAATCTGCACAATTACGTCAAGAATCTCGGAGTTATCTTTGATCCACTCTTGCAGTTTGACAAACATGTAAATGCGGTTGTGAAGAGCAGTTTGTTCCAGCTTAGATTGGTGGCAAAAGTTAAACCCTTTCTTTCTAAAAAAGATTTAGAAATCGTAACCCATGCTTTAATCTCCTCTCGGTTAGACTACTGCAACTCTTTGTACATTGGCCTACCTCAGTCAACACTCTCTCGGCTACAGTTGGTCCAAAATGCAGCCGCCAGATTAATAACAGGAACTAAGAAAAGAGATCATATCTCCCCTGTCCTCGCCTCATTGCACTTGCTACCTATAAAATACAGGGTTGATTTTAAAATTCTTCTTTTCACTTATAAAGCTTTGCACAATTCTGCCCCCGCCTATGTCAGCGAGCTTATTAGGCCATATACAGCTTGTAGACTCTTAAGATCCCATGATCAGTTTCTTTTGTCTGTCCCTCGGTCTCGCTGCAAGTGAAAGGGTGATCGAGCTTTAATTGTTATGACCCCAAGGCTCTGGAACAGTCTCCCTCTGAACATCAGAATCTCTCCTTCTTTGGATGCTTTTAAATCTAACTTAAATACACATTTTTACTCTCTTGCCTTTGACTGATGCATGCATGTTATTTTTTTATTATTTATATTTTAGTATTACTTTTAAATATAATTCATTGTATTTTTAATACCAGTTATTTTTAGTTTTATTGTCTAGTTTATTTTATTGTAAAGCACTTTGGATCAACTACAGTTGTGTTATTGTGCTCTATAAATAAAGTTTGCCTTGCCTTGCCTTCGTACAAACACAGTGACTAAATGCAATTCTGACACAACATTGCATATCTTTGCGATGTGAATATTGCGCATGAGCACTTTACCATATCGATGCTAAATTGATATATTGTGCAGCACTGGAAGTTGGTACTTTTGACAGGCAGGCATTGAAAATGCATTCTGTGTGAATGAGCCCTAACTACTGTGCAGCCTCACAGCTGGACCGAATTATTCAGAAGCACCTCTTCTTATTGGATAAGAGAGCCCAATCTTATGAATAATATTTGGACACAAACTTGTCATCAAAATACTCGTTTACTGCCTCCATATTGATTTTAAACCCAGAAGATGAAAATGCAGTTAGCTCAGAATTGTCTAGTTATTCTTTAAAATTAAGGTAACACATGCTGATGTTGTCTTAATTGATGTTCAGAGCTGTTAAAATGTGTCCTGTCCTGTTTAGTTTTTATTTTAATTAAATGTAACATGTACCAGTGATTTCAGGCTTTTAAACTTGTTGTTGGGACACATTATCAGCTTCTCTATTACAGCCTAGGTGTCCACTGACATTCTCATTTTTAGCTCTTTATGGCTTTATTTGATAAGACAAAGATAAACAGGAAGTAGTGTGGCAGAGAAAGGGGAGGGTCAATGACGAAAGACCTCGGGTCGGAAATTGAACTCTAGACACAGTTGCACCATATATTAACGTAATCATAAGGCTGTTGGTGCAAACTCTGTTGACTTAGAATTGAGCAACAGTAAATCGCTGTTTGTGGTGACCACAGAAATTGTGAAGATATGCTATTGATTACTATAATTTTTTTTATTGAAGCTATTTATTGGACTGGCCCTCTAGGCCTATGTTTTGCAAGAAACCATTAATAATAAGTTCCAAAAGTTAAGGTATTCATAGAAATATAATGAATTTACTGCTTTCAGAGGCTTTTCTCTGTTTTTTCCTTAACATACTGTTCTAGTTGTTGTATTTTATAGCTATGAGACTTCTGCTTTAAAGTGCTTAGACTTCCAGTTTATCCTTTTGGTCCCATCTGGACTAATAAAAAGCTGATTTAGGAGTAAAAACATTAAAATATAGTATTTTTTCATGCTTTCAGATCAGCAGCAGCACAGAGCCATAGTAAAATGCTAAGCGACAGCTGTCAAATCTCAACATTGTGCCAATTTAACGTCTGCAATCTTGTGATATGAAGCTTGTCAGTAAACTCTGGCTGTAAGCCACTCTAAACTACAGCTTGTTTAATTTTCTCCATTTAAATGAAATCAATGTGATTTTTCTTGTGAAATGTCCACTAAAGGCTCTGATCACACCAGATGTGCATGAGAGGTCCCTTTTTTTGAATGTCTACTAATGGCTGTGACAGGGTTTCTGCGAAGTCTTAAGTCTAAAATTTAAAAATCTAAATTTAAGGCCTTAAAAAGTCTTAAATTCGCTGTTCTAGGTCTTAAATATTTTTGCTTGGGTCTTATTTTTGCTATGTCCATGTAACGCTACATCTAATGCTCAATTAAATTCTGTTTTGTTGTTGCTAGGTTTTCGTGGTGTTGTAGTTCTTTTTTTAAGTAGTCCAATTGTAATTTGTTTTTTTTACAACTACAAAATGGTCAACTTGCAATAGCCAATCAGCTTTCTGTTAGGGCGGTGCAATTAATTGAAAATTCGATTTCGATTTTGGCTTCTAACGATTATGAAGAAGCATTCATCGAGATAAACGATTATTGCATCATATACCGCCCCCTTTCCAGTTGTACACATTTGTTGCTCTGAAAAGCTCAGTTCCATGTGAAAATGACAAAGCATGTACTGTAATTTAACGTTTGCAGCATGGGATGTGCATCGTTCTTTGATTTACATTGGAATCATGTTTTTAAAATCGCGAGTGAGACCGCATGCCGCAGCTTCATTCGCACACTGTGCGCTCAGAGGCGAGCAGTGCACACACATCTAAAGCCATCTTAATGTGAGCGCTTTAATGGTCAAATAGATGTCAATGCTGTGTTTAGTGATTATTCATATTAACCCTCATTTGTGTAATAAACAAACGAGTTGAGAATCAAGACACGTGAAAAGAGAAACCATTAAAGTGACTGAAATATTTCTGCTGCCACCTGTTTTCATCAATAATCAAACAACGGAAGGAAAATAACTGCATTTATGCAGTTGAAGACAGAATTATTAGCCCTCCTGAATTATTATTATTATTATTATTATTATTATTATTATTATTATTATTATTATTATTGTAAGCAACCCTTTTCCCCTCAATTTCTGTTTAATGGAAAGATTTTTTTTCAACTAATTTCTAAACAATAGTTTTGATAACTCATTTCTAATAACTGATTTCTTTTATCTTTGCCTTTTACAGCACCTAATATTTTACTAGATATTTTTTTCAAAATACAAGCATTCAGATTTAAAGTGTGATTCAAAGGCTTAATTAGGGTAATTAGGCAAGTCATTGTATAACAGTAGTTTCTTCTGCAGACAATCAAACAATATATTGCTTAAGGGAGCTAATAATATTGACCATAAAATAGGTTTTAAAATATTTAAACCTACTTTTTATTCTAGCCTAAATAAAACAAATAACACTCTCCAGAAGAAAAAAATATTATAGGAAATACTGAGAATTCTGAGTCTGTTAAACAATTTAGGAAATATTTATAAAAAAAAAACATTTCACAGGAGCGCTATTAATTTTGACTTTAGCTGATAATCTTTTTGATTATTTTGATCAAGCGCAGTTTTAAAAGTCGGGAGCGAATCTCAGCTCACAAGCCTGTTTACTCTGTTCGTGGACAACTGCTCGCGAGCTCTCAAAATACTGGCTGCTCATGTGCGAATGATCTGCTCACGCTCCGTCGGACGATGCGGACTCACAATTTTTCTGTCTTGTGTTTCCTCACACTTTCGTGCTTTTGCTCTCCAGAGATGCTTCAGCATACTGTAGTATTAAGAATAGTGAACTGATAAAATGAAATGCAGTGTAGTTTTACTACAGTAAAATGTGGTAAATTGTAGTATAGTATACCCTATATTGTGAAAAAAAACAGCACTGGGTAGTTTGTTTATATTACACTTGTGTTACCACTGCAACTATAGTATTACCACAACAGATTAAATGAAGTACTTTACGGAACTTTTCAAAACACTGTACAGCAGAGACTAGTTCACTTTATTTGCCATGATAAAATGGGATTAATAGTCAGATTTATTTGAAGAGTGAATAATACAGTAGGCTATAATACCTTATCAAGTGCCCTATTTTCTATCACAGTTACATTTCTGCTTGCATTAGTTATATATATATATATTTTTATTATTAGTAGTATGGTGCACCTTATGGATGTTTAATAAATGTTTTTAAAATAAAACTATTCTCTGTGTCTTTAAGTGTTTAATAAACCATCACATTTTTGGCTTTATTATATGAGATATTTTCAGTTTTAGATTAAAAGTGTAATATGTATGTCTATTTTAGTATTTTGTTTATTGGTAATAAATAGTGCACCAATATAGATCAAATCAAAAACCATAAAGGAAGAGGGAACCGTGTACTGAGAGCGCGCAAGAAAATTTGTGTGTAAGCAGTGCATATTTGAGAGTGAGCAAAGTTGCATGCAAGCAGCGTATTATATTTGGGAGCTCACACGCAGTTTTGTCTACAAACAGAGGAAATCGGTGCACGAGCAAAGAGATTCACTTGCTCGTATTACTTGAATATGCTCTTCACTTGTAATACTGCACTCGGAACATTTGTCAGTCAGTGAAATAACGCCATTTTTTGAGACTTGGGTGAACCGTTCACGGAGCACCACATTTGATTTGAGTAGAATTTAAAACACTATGAAGAGATTTTGTCTGAAACGAGTACATCTGTCTGTAACGACATCTTTATGATCCGTCCATGCATGATCATAGGGTGAACCAGATGACCAATAAATCTTGGCTAGAAATTTCAACAGCAGTGAGAAAGGAGGAAAGTTTTTGTAAAAGTTTGGAAAAATCTAAAGAAGATGTTTGTTAAAAAAAAAAAAAAAAGAGGCGCCCAAAAACATTCTTAATGATATTTATTATCTTTTTATTCGTCTGATTTTGTCTGTTTTTTTGACCGCCCCCTGTCATTTAACAGAATATCTCAATGGCAAATGCATCAAGTATAAAAGCCTCATCCATTTCAAGAGGTGCAATGCAAGACTACTATGGACATTTTTAATGAACCAAATCACTTTTATTGTCACATCATCAGCAGCACATGTACCATGATGAGAATGACGGAATACAACGACATACTCCAAAATAAAAACAGTATACAATTAGCAATGTTGATCGTAATGCGTAGAAGACAATGAAGAGGTGTATACACAGTCTGACTGTCCTCATGCACCGCCTGGTGTAGATGCCCTGGAAGAAGGGAAGCTCACCTCCTACCATGCGGCCAACAGTTTGCACAATCCTATGCAGACCTTTGCAATTGCTGCTGTTTCCATACCAGGTTCTGATGCAGCCAGTCAGGATGCTCTCCATAGTGCAGATGTAGGAGCGACGGATTTGGGGGCTCATTCCAAACCACCTGAGAAAGAAGAGGAATTGTTGTTGTCTTTTTCTCAGCACTAACAACGCCTCTTCTTCCTCGGGCGTCTCAGGATGGAGGAGAGACATTTTGAGTGGTTGCTGTTTTGAGATATCCAGACCTGTATGACTTCACAAATTTTGATTATCACAATGTTATTAAATATTACAGTTATGACAATAACAACAGCAACACTCATGCACAAAATACAGCTTATTCAGTTTTTTTTTTTAAAGCACACCTAACTTTTCAAAAAAGGCAACGCAATGCACCTTGAATGAAAAAGCAGATTTGATTTTTGTCAACCCCAAAATCTGCAGAGCATTAATGCTTTCAAAAAAACTTCAAAAACATGGGCCAAAGTTTTGTATTCTAGCCTTTACATAATACATATTTTTCAGTTATGTATTGATGTATCAAATCATCTAATTTGCCTTTTTTCAATTCATAAGGGAGCCATGACGCCTGGCCTGCCCATTTTCAGTCCTATGATGCCGTATGGGACGGGCCTCACACCGCAGCCTGTGCAGAACTCCAACAGCTTGTCCCTCCTGGAGGAGCAACAGAGGCAACAACAGCAGCAGCAGGCGGCCTCACAGCAGCAGGGTGGGATGGTGGGAGGTTCAGGCCAGACGCCCCAGCTTTACCACTCAACACAAGCCGTCTCCACAACAACAGCTCTGCCAGGCAACACACCACTTTATACCACACCCCTCACCCCTATGACGCCTATCACTCCTGCCACACCGGCCTCCGAGAGCTCTGGCATCGTCCCGCAGTTACAGTCAGTGTCCTTTCTCAATTAACAATCCTGTCAGAGATGTTGATTTGCGGTTCAGACAAACACATTGATTTTGTAAGAAATATTGGACTATCATGTTTAAAGTGTGTATTTATTTTTAAGGAATATTGTGTCCACCGTAAACTTGGGGTGCAAACTTGATTTGAAGACGATAGCACTTCGAGCCAGAAATGCTGAATATAATCCAAAGGTAAGACTTCTTGTTTTGTTTGGAATTGGCCTATTTATTTATTTGCTTGGAGTTATTAGTTGTTCATTACAATCCTAAAACAGGGTATCTGTATAAGGCCCTTAAAAAGTATTAAATGTTGCTTTATGAGGTATTAAGTTTTGTATCAGTATACTATTCTGAAGTTTGCCTGAATTTAATCTGTGAATATTGGGATTCGGTTTATGAAATGAATAAAGTCCCGCTGGAGTTCACATCACACTGCTTTGTTCAATGCAGTAACCAAGGAAACACTGTTACTCCTGTAACAAGATGGTTCAAGATTCATTTATTGGTCACATTCTATAGAACCATTACATAACATGAATCACCAAAAGAACTAGAGCGAAAACAAACAAACGAATTAATCTCGAAAATTAAAACACTAAGCCAACATCAAAAATATCAAACAGTAATCTTAAATAAATTAAAATAGTCTTATTTTCCCTTATACCAGGAGTTAAAACATAAACGGGGAATCCGTGAATCAGCCATATGCTTGTGCCTTGTTGGCATGTTTCACCTAGCGTTCCATGACTTTGCTTCATGTCTATTACTATATGCACCATATATCCGGTATGCTCAGTAATCTCTGTGTCATGATTAAAGATGCCAACCACAACTTAATGCATTCAACAAAATCAAACCATATACAGAGTAAAACAAAATAACAAAGAAAATCTACATCATTAACAAAGTTTTATATTATTTCAAGTTTCATTACAATAACAAACTTTGTACATCCATTGATAACTCTTTCAGCGTTTTGCTGCCGTCATCATGAGAATACGAGAACCCAGAACAACAGCGCTTATCTTCAGCTCGGGGAAGATGGTGTGCACAGGAGCCAAAAGGTATGAATGTCACCTGCACACTTGCTGTTGTGTCTTTCTACATTCTTGGTGAACAAACGGCAGTATGTGAGTTTACCTTTCTTGTGTGAACTTTCTGCCACAGTGAGGAACAGTCTCGATTGGCAGCCAGGAAATATGCCAGAGTGGTGCAGAAGTTGGGTTTCCCTGCCAAATTCTTAGACTTCAAAATCCAGAACATGGTGGGGAGCTGCGATGTCAAGTTTCCCATCCGATTAGAGGGCCTGGTGCTTACCCACCAGCAGTTTAGCAGGTTTGTCTTTTGGTTTTGATTAGTTTATTAATTTGTTGATTATTTAAACTACTAATTTATTTGAATTTCTATTTCATACTACGTGATTTCAGTTTGATTTTTTTTTCTTACTTTATTTTAAGTTATTTGTAAACCTACAATGCGCATCAATTGGCGGCACAAGTTAAACTGTCAGAAAAATACTTTTTATTTGGTTTATACATTTATTTGTTTAGTTTAGTTTTCAGTCCTACATGGCAGGTTCTATCACATCTGTAACTCCAATAGGATATATCCTACAAGGTTGACTCAAATTAAAATTAAGGCAACCTGCTTTAAGACGTTTTGAGTCTTGTGCAGTATTTTGGGTTGAAAGTTAAGTCTACTAAAAAAAGGCTTTGCAGCAAAAAAAATTTCTTTTTTTTTACAGTGTAGAATCTAGATATTGTTTTTAAACATGGAGAAACAAAGCGGAGACTCTGGTGGGAAAAGTCAGAATTAAAAACCCACATTTAAAAGCACTTTACAGAACCTTAAATGCAATGCAAATTGACTACTAGTGACCCTGAATAAAATCAAACTATTATTATTATTAACATGCTTTTGTTCCTCTCACTTATTGTGATTGGACAATAGTTAGATGGGAAGCGAAGTTTGGCAGGAAAAGGGGCACTGGATAGAGAAATTTCCTCATACCAGGATTTGAACTTGGGATGCCCAAAGTGCAGTTATGCTTTGTCACTGGAGACAGAACATGTTTTAAATGTTACCAGTATTAGAAGAGAAAAATAAATGAGCTTGTTTTTAGTAGCCTGATATATGCTGCATGTCTTTATGATCATAAAAAAAGTGACATTTCTAGAAAAATAAGTGTTTGCTTCTATTATACTGAAGTATTTGCTGTGTGTGTTTGTTATTTCTTGGTGAGCACCATTTTGACTAGAAATTGGAATCTGACTGATAAATGTGATCTAAACTCTAATATACTGCTGATATTTCCTCCCCAGCTATGAACCGGAGTTATTTCCAGGGTTAATCTACAGAATGATCAAACCCAGAATCGTTCTTTTAATATTTGTTTCAGGCAAAGTCGTACTCACAGGTGAGGTCATAGTTACATTTGAAATGGCACAGATAGTACCTTGCAATAGTAGTGTGAGATTTATGAACATTGTCGTTTGTTTCCAGGTGCCAAGGTTAGAGGAGAAATCTATGAAGCATTTGAGAATATTTACCCCATCTTAAAAGGATTCAGGAAGACCTCGTAATCTCTTCTGTTTTTGCTGGTCAGTTCCTCGCTGAGCCCATCGGTATGTCTGGGGTGACCTACGCAATCTCGTTTAATTTTGTAAGTCTGTAAATATGAAGGACATCTTTATCTCTGCTCAGAAAGTGAACAATTGAGGATAAGAAATGCTTTTATTTTACCTTTTAAGAATGTTTGTCACCTGCCATTTGGTTTTCAAAATACTGTTTTATCCATGTCTGAACATTTTAATGTTTGGGCTTCTTTTATGGTTTTATCATGTAAAAATGTTCATAATTTCATACTTTTACACATTCCTTTTATTAGCAGGTTTTATGTGATATTTCATTACTGATTGTCTGTGTTGAACGTCAGTGAGAGCCCATGTTGTGCAGTGCGAGAGATCTTTTGTTTGGAGAAGTGCATTGAGGTTATTTTTCAACGAAGCTTTGATCCTTTGGTTGTTGAAACGATCACGCGGATTTGATCTTTTAAGTTACAGTTTTAAGATGAGAGGTAACCGTTGACAAATCTAACAGTTCAATTGGCATTTCAATGTATGATGTACTGTAGGTCTCCCAATAGCCCCATGTAAAGCACTGACATTAATTTAATCCCTTGGTCCATGTAACTAAATTTACTTTGCTACGTTGAACGCAAATAAATGTGTTTGCCAAGTTCTGCCTATACATTGTCTACATGGTTTAATTCTTTTATGGTATTGAGACTCATCCTGGACTTCTAGTAGTGTTGTTTTTAAAGTTGTGTGAAGAATAGTTTGTGTAACATTTGTATATAAATTTAGAAGTACACTGATAAACGAAAACAATATCAAATGATATGAATTCTGGGGGGAAATTTGTGGTAATGTTGCTTAAGAGGTTACGAGTTCTGCAATACTCGAAGGGAAATTATGAAAAAATATGTTTAGAGGCAGCAGCCATTATTTTCCTCAGAAATCAGTGTGCTAATTCAGCTGTTTTAGTTGAAATAACATTTTTTAATGCAATTTATTTTTTAGGATTTATTGGTGAAAGGAAAATTTCAAAGAATTTTTTTGCAACAATGTAAATGTTTTACTTTAATTTTTGATCAATTGAATGTATCTCAGGTTAAAGTCTTAACCCAAACTTTTTATTGGCAGCATGTCCAAACCAAAATCTGTGGAATTTCTTCATATGACAATGGATATTTTAATGGAAGTTTAAGACCCAAACTATGAAGGAATCAATCATTTTGATTCACCACATATCTTTAATACAAAGTTCATTTAAATGAATAGTTCTACTCTGCTTGATCTCCTGAAAAGTCTTGTTTCCAGATGAACTCAGGGGAATATTTGTTGCCTTGATCACAGCTTTCAGCACAGGTGTAGATGGCCACTGTCCCCCAGTCTATGCTGGCATCTGTACTGTCCACTTTCAGGTGATTTAGTAATTGGGGCATTATCTGAAACGAACACAGTCACACTTTAAATTGTGTAATGCTTTACTCTGACCTGATGCAGTTGCAATCTGAGCTGCATGCAATGCTTTTTAATGCCCATTCCTAATCAGTGAAACTAGCTATATTAGGCATATTGTGTCTGACATTACATCTGAGATATGCAATCTCAGCTTCAATCATCATCATCATCATTAAGGCTGCATTCAGAGTAGTGCAGAATTATTCAATACTATATGTTTAAGATATCTCAAGCGGTTTGGAAGCCTGAACAAAAATATTTGAAAACTTATTGCCTCTGTTCACTAAATGTACTATATGGTCATGCCATGCATTCATACATGTAATTAACGTCTAGACATGTACATGATTACACTTGACAACCAAAAACAATAATTGAGGACTACATTACAAGGTGACAATTACTGGTTTGGCATGTAAAAAAACTAATTAATTCAGTCCAATAGACAGACCTGCTTATTTTAAAACAAGGGACACATTTACACAAAGTTTGGCTTCATTTAAAAAAAATATTTTTGAAGTCTCTTAAGCTAAACAAAAATGACATAGGTTTTATCTTTAATATATAACAATTCATAAAATGACTCCTATTTTAAAACATTTTATTTTCCTGTGACATAGCTGACTTTACAGCTTCCATTTTTAGTCTTTAATGTTATAAGATCCTTTAAAAAATAATCTACATTAATCGTAAAACTGTTGTAGATACCAATTGGAAAAATATTTTGAAAAAAAATCTAGACTCAGTTAATCTCATTGAATGAAAACAAAAAGCTAGCTTAACATCTGTTTTGCATCACCTGGAATTCAAAGAGCCGTTTTGCGCCACATGTACACTCTGGAACTTCCTCTTCACGTGGCACATGTTCAGCTGTCACCCAAAGAGGAGATCCCCCTCTACAATACCGCAAAACCTTAAAAACACAAACGTATATCACCACATAGCTGCTGAAGCATATGTGGAAAAGCCATACATCGCATTTGCATGGCTGTGACTGTGTTACTTACCTGTTGTGGCTCATTAGCAATGCGCTGCTTGAACTTTTGAAAGACTTTGGAGTCTAACGTTTCATGAAGAGCCATACTCTCCAGCTCACTGTCCTCCAAACCTGAGTGAAATTAAGTGAAAACTTTGAATGACAAATACATAACAACAAATATCAACCTCCTGAAACTGTTCAATAAGGAATACCGCTATTTAAAGATGCAATGTTCTCCTGATCCAGACTGGGGGATTCCTGAAGTTCATCTTTTGCCGGAATCACCTCTGGTTCGGTGACCAGCTCCCACTCAGGAAACAGAAATGAATTCAGCTCCCCTGAAACTTGAGAAGCTGAAGGTACAAATACAAGACATCACACCTATCGATCAGATGCTCATTTTAAGACTTCCCCTAGTGTTAAACAGGACAGTTTTACCATTGTTTAAATACATTTAGCCAATCTCTGGGTCTGACAGAAGCACACTTAGCTTAGCATAGCATAGATTGAATCAGATTAGACCCTTAGGATCTCGCTCAAAAATAATTGCTAGGTTATTATGAGAATGAGTGTAGGTCTAAGCCATATCGGCTTAGAAATTAGCAACTTCTCATTTTCTGCCAGTCTTGGTACACAATGTAACAACAGAAGACTGAAGCTTTAAATGGGAAAATTATCAAAACTCTTCTACAAGTTTTTTTTGAACGAGATGCTGATGGTCTAATCCAATTCAATGATCGATGCGAAGCGCTCCCGCCAGACCCAGGAACCTCTAGGGCTGTTATAAATTGAGCTTATTTCCAAAGAAGTGAGTGTTCCTTTAAAGTAGTGAACATTAAAAGTAATTTATCAAGCATTCTAGACTCACCCTCAGCTAAGCACTCTTTCTTGTGTCTTTGTTTCCAGTCTGTGGTCTGATGCTCCTTACAGCAATATGTGACAGAGTGACATCGAGAGCAGGCTTTCTGTCCCAGACAACCACACAGCCTGCACAGTTTGAGTCCTGAACCCAAAACCTGAGCATCATGTACTGGCTGTTCAGGCTTTTCGTCAGGAGGAGGATTAAAAGGGTAAAACTCATTTTTCCTTGGTAACTGACTTCTGAACACTGAAAATGGGAATAGTGCAGAACAGAAATGTGAGAAATGGTGCCCATATTTAATATTTTGTCATCGCATGTTGTTTTAAGTTCATAAAACTTTCTTTCTGTTTAAATAAAAAAAAAAACCTTAAGAATGATGATTAGTTGAATAGTTTTGGATCTCGTTGATTTCCTTAAATAGACATGAATCTGTTTGTTGACAAGCCTGTGTTAGTTAATAATCGTTACCCGTTTACATCAGATTTCAGGAAAGGACCTAATATTCACCTCAATAGTATTAAAAAGTTTAATAAATAAATGACAAAATATATCTAAAACTCAGTCAAGCTAATAGAATCAAGACTTTCTCTATAAATAAAATAGGAAATGCTGTGAAAATGTCTTACTGTTAAACATAAGTTAGAAAAGCTTCCTAAAATGGTTTAAATTTCACCACAAAGCTAAAACAATATTATTGTAGCTAAGATTTGTGTACATTACATTTCATTCAACATCAGTTGAATCACTCTTTTAATTTTAGTAATTTTAAGTGCTTCTATCAGATAATGCTCATATTTACCCACACTAGAAACACAACATCCTTTAAAGTATATGCATGCTGTCGACTTCACAGAACAAAATAAAGGCATGCTAAGTTTGGAACTACACGAAGGTCAGGAAATGACCAACTTTCATATTTAGCTGACCGTATCGTTTTAATGCATCTTAATAAAAATACTATACACACATGAACAACTACTACGGTATTTTGACAGTTCGTTACCTTTAAAACACTTGCTGTCGTTTCGAGTATAGCAGGCTGGTGTCTTGCAGCAGAACACAAACAGTGTCCTGTGAAAACATCGATCATATTCAGTGACTGGCGCATAGACCTGCAGAAGAAACACCGCCGGCAGTTTGCACTCCTCGCACTGTAACTCAGACACGGCTGGTAAATCCGACTGGCTCAGCCACGCTGGTCGCCCGCCGACTTTACTTGGAAACTGGTCACTCAGAAGCTGCCATGATTCTGCCTCCTCTAAGAAGCCCAGCACGACGTCACTGTGTGTATTTGACTCTTTCAATGTATTTGCAGCCATCTGTCAAACTCTCACATACATTCAGAGCTGAGAGTTTAAAAAAAAATGTGCGGGTGTTTGTTCAACTGAGATTAAGGCTCGGGTTAAACAAGATCTCAGACAAACGTTCCATACACAAATAAGCAGATAATTAAAAAAAAAGAATATGTAGCTCTCTGATATATTACTAATATAGAATTTAATGATTTAAAAAGGTAATATTAACTTATGCGCCATTAACTCAAGTTAAACGTCTTTATCTTGTTAAATTGCAAATTATACCGCTTGTCTAAAAGATGGCGTCTTTGTGCTTCTGTTTTTAACGTTGTAGTCATAAAATACTTTTAAGGAATTGGTTAAAACTAAAATAATTCATTTTCATAATAACAATTAGATAATGATTTAGTTGTTTTAGTAAACAATAATACTGCTTAATGTAAATGTGGAACGACCCCTCAGGGAGCCACAAGAGAGCGCTCGTTGTCTGTGGAGAAATGTTTGGAGAAAAAGCATAAACTATGGAAATAAATACATATAAATTACTGGTATTTAATCATTTAAATTATTGTTAACAGTAAGTTCTCTGTGTGTGTATGTATATTCAGTTTTGATATCTATTCATAATTTACTATTTATCTTGTATGCAATTATGATTATTTTGCATGTGTGTGAATAGATTATAAATAGATGTATTAAAATATATTAAAAATACAAAAAATGACTGAATTTTAAAAACTAAACATTCTTTAGAAAAAACATTATTTTTAATGCTCTTTAGACATTTTTTATCTTATTGAGATTATCCGTGATAAAAAAAAATGAAAATGCTGACGCGTGTGTTCTCGCCAGTTCAGTTGAGTTTATCAGTAATGACAACAGGTCTGCTGAACTTCAGTTCACGGATGACTGCAGTTCACTGAGGATGATGTCATGGGCCGTGTCTCAAACCCTAGTCATTTGCCTATCTAGGGTACGCCCAAAAGTGTCCCGCGCGCTTCAAACCCCGGTCTAGTAGGCGGTAGGCAAAGCATTGAGACACAGGCAGAGTGTTTGAGAGTGAAGTGTGTTCAGTTCAGTTCAGTTTTAGAGAGGGCGGAGGAGGGCTCGTCTCATGAGGGCATAACGTCAGTGTACGTGTGGGCTTCCTATTTATTTTTGCTTCAGAGTTGATTTGTTTTATATCCAGACAAACCAAACACTTCTTGATTTGAGATGTAGCCTTTAGCAGACTGTTTTCCTCTACAATAAATGGACACCGCGGTGAAACCGGAGACTTGTGCTCCTCTCTCTCTCATTCACGAGCGACAAGTGAGATGATAAACTGCTGAAAGTGGCGTTAAGGCTCCGGGACGCTGTTTGCAGTGTTTGCAGCGATGCCTCCGCAGGGAGGAGGTGGAGAGTATAAGCCCGTTCCCGGTACGGTCGTGCCGCCGGTTCCGCCGCGGAGGCTGAGGAGCAGGGACCTGTCCTCTGCGGTCAAGAGTCGCTTTGGGACGGCGGCGGAGCGCAGGGTGAAGTGCGTACTTGTTGGGGATGGTGCAGTGGGTAAAACCAGTCTGATTGTGAGCTACACTACTAACGGATATCCCACAGAGTATGTCCCAACAGCGTTTGACAACTTTGCAGGTAAATATCACTCCAGCATTTAGAACCAAAAGAAAAAGGTAAATCTAAATTAAAATAATCTAATTAAAATAATATATTAATAGCCTAAATATATGGTAGCATCCAGCAATCGGTTAGAAAACCCAGTTTTAGTTGGTGCGACTAGTTTTAGTTGAATAAAGCTGACCAGTATGGTACAAAATGCTGATCAATTTAGACCAGTAATAAACTAGCTACTTACTGGTTAATTTATAATAATACTGTTAGTCAGTGTTTACTTATGAGATTTGCAAACTGTTAATTTTTTTTTGGAAGTAATAAGCTTGAACCTAAAACTTAGTTGTAATTTACAAACTCAATAAATACATTTTCACCTGGGAAACAAAAATGCCTATGCAATAGAAGAAAAAATATTTTGAATATTTGACAATTATTCAGATAAATGTTACTCAGGCACATTAAAACTATCTATCTGTCTGTCTTTCTATCTTGTTATAAAATATGATATATGCATTTTGGCAAGGGGTAAAGATTGAGATAATGAAATTTATGCAGTTAGATTTACCCTTTACTCTCCTGTTTTTCTTGCTTGATAGAATACCCTTGGATGTATTTAATAAAAACCAGAGATATTTACTATATATACTTTTACTAAGTGCAGGAAAGACTATAACAATAAATAAAATGAGGCCACACCCTCCAACAATAGCACAGTAGATAGGAAAACCTGAATTAAATATAGAATGGAATATATGACTTCTCAACTTCAATTGAAATTGGATATTTTTAAACAAAGGTGGGCACCTGTTACTGTGTATCTGAACATGGCAACAGGACATAGTATTGCCAGCTGTATCCTTTGAAATTTAAAAATGATGTACGTGTCTTTTTGTAATTTGTTTTTATTTACTGGTAGTGTTATTTGTTGTTGTTGTTGTTGTTGTTTCATAATTTTTTAAATACTGCTACTTTCACTGACTTTAATTCTGTAAAATGTTTTAATGTAAAAAAAAATAAAGTAAAAAATAAAATAAAATATTATATATTAATATTATGTTTGCATAATTTCATATATATATATATATAAACTATACTATGTTATATAAAATGATTTATTATAATAAAATAATTATAATATAATAATATTATGTTCATATCATGAGGTTAAACAAAAATAACACAAATGCCTATATAAAACATTACATTGTTTTACAGTGACCTCATTAAAATTTGTCAGATGGCCACATGATTGGCCACAGTTCATCTGTCTTAATAATGTGCACCGACTTACGAGAGATAAAATCAACTGATAAAACTGAATCTGTTCTTTTGTGCAGCGGTTGTAGCTGTGGATGGCAAGCCTGTGAAACTTCAGCTTTGTGACACTGCCGGTCAGGTCAGTCCAATAAGCCTACTCAGCACCACCAGACCCAAACAAACCGGCTCACACAAACACATTAAAGCCAGTGCAAGTTCATCATGTCGCTGTATGAGGATGACATGCTGTTTGCACAAACACACGCTTGTCGAAGGCTTCGTCTCTTCACTGTAACAGACTCATGAGTCACGTCCTAATTAATCATACGCCTGCCTATCAGCAAGATAAGAGGGAAAGTGATTCAGTTTTGTTTTGCTTACTCAGGATAAGGATTTCTGGTAAAGTTCAGCTGAAGTTTGCAGGCCAGGCATCATAAGGAAGTATAGGCTTCATCCTATAGGAACGCACTGTTGTAGGTCACTTAGTGTGTCTCTTTCTTTGTGGGAGGGAGAAACCAGCAGCCCTATGGGACCGCAAATGGGAAGCAGTCTAATTGTGATGAATTGGGCTTGATCCCAGGGAAAGGGAGACCTACTTTCAGTCCGGGTACAGCTGGGGCTAGTCACTGGAAATGTGAGATCAGTGTGTTTTCGATGAGTTTAGCAAGCTAAGGAGACACGGTGAAGGGAGGCAAGCCAAGAGACATTTGAATCAGCCATGTTTAGGCCAGTGCAGGGAGAGAAAGACACATAGAAAGTCTTGAGTCTTGAGAATTTATTTGTATAAGTTTGTGCATGCTTTTTTACCAAATTGTACATTTGAATGACATTTGCCTTTGTTTAGCGCTACTTAAAGCGATAGTCCACCCAAAAATGAACATTTTCTTAGCATTTACTCACACTCAAATGATTCTAAACTTTAATAATTATTTATATATATATATTCTTCTATTGAACTCAAAAGAAGATAATTTGAAGAATGTTGGGGAAAAGCAACCATTAGTATCTTTAGTACTAACAAAAATATTATGGTTGTCAATGCTTTTTCCCAAGGATTTTCAGTATATATTATTTTGTGTTTACCAGAAGAAACAACTTAAAATAGGTTTGAAACAAGTGGAGGAAGAGTAAACGATGCAGACTTTTCATTTTTGGGTGAACTATCTCATTAAAGTGTCTTCTGGAGTAGAAAACAATAGTAAAATCACATGCATCTCTGATCAAGCACTCCTATTTACTTATAATATACATGTCACATCACATCTCATTATTTCCCAATGAATCAAGATTCAAAGAGTCAATTCTGAGAGTGTGCTCATCTCTGATTGGCCAGATGAACCGGTCTGTTATGATTGGTCTACTGCTTACAGTGCATCAAATAGCTTATTTTAGCACGGTAAAGATGTCATTGATTTTTGCCATATTAATATAACCCAGAATCCAATGATGAAACATTACAAGAACAAGTTGACCCATTTGAACCTCCATCTCCTATGCAGAATGTTTTTTTTAGTTTTGAGAATTATTAACCAATCAGACATGTTTCTAGTTATGAATGTTTGTTTCTGGTAACTTATGAGCACAATGGCCAATAGGAGGCAACTAGATTAGTAATTGCGGTATATGCTGGAGTTTGGCTGAGTGGACCTGAGATTAATTATTGGAATTATTGGTGAATCATTTCAGCATTTCAAAATTGGCTCTTTTTTTTGAAACAATAATTTTACCAGTCATGCACCTTAAACCTTTTCAGATCATTTACATTCATTAATGGCTACATTGCACACTGCATTAAAGACAACATCTAAAAAGCACTATAATAGCACTTTACTGTTTATCTTTACAAGAGCAAAAAAAAACAAAAAACATATTACCCTTTTAAATGTGATATCTTTAAGAAATCAAAAATGTAATATCCTCAATAATACTGTTATAAAAATACTTTAGAGTCAAGGGTTTTATTTATTTATTTATTTATTTTAGAGTAAGTAGTGTAGAAACTTAATGTCAATACATGCAGCTATTTAAAAAACACATAAGCCAACATAATTGCATATATTATTACATTATAGACAATGGTTGTTTTTTATGAGTTAGAATGTGGTCGGTTGACTAATTAATAGAAGAAAGCATCTTTGGACAGAAACTATGAACATCTAAGAACTGAAACCAAGCTGGAGACTCATAAGGAATTGTAAGGGAGATGGAATGCAGCAGTAATAAACAACAGATCTCACATTTGTGTTCTAGCCTTTATATC